CCATCACTGAAAAACTTCGAACCCGGGTACAAGCTGCTGAAATGGACTTTCTTAGACGAGTCGCTGGCCTCAAGCATCTTGACATGGTCTGGAATACTGACATGAGAGCCTTTGTTTACAGCCGCTGCTTCTCCAGATCGAGAAGTCACAAGTGCGATGGTTTGTGCATGTGTTGCGAACGCCTCTGGAAAGGAAGGATAAGCAACTGTTTCTAGCCCAACCGACCGGCAGACGACCAAGATTAAACCGGTGCAAATATAGGGAAGGAATCTGCTCCAGACTACAGCTCTATTCTGCCGAAGCTCAGAATCTTGCGGAGGATCGGGAAGCATTATCTGATGCAACTGCGCACGAGACCCGAAAAGAGAAGCAGTTGTGGAAGAAAGATGGAGATAAAAAATTAACGTCAATCAGCATCACTATCTACTAAAAACCTAGTTCAAGAAGGTTATTAATTTAATGCGTGCTTAACTTATCAACAGGAACAAATGCAGATGGTAAACACGGCCATAGTTTAGCAAAGGCATGATCATTCCTTCAGAGCAGAGAGTATGCATCTTTAATATTTTTCAGCAGGTTTCATATGTTTCAAGCCAATAATCGCAAACTCTGAATAAATTTGGTTTCCACGGTAAAACTTTTCCAGCTCGAGGGTGCGCAGATTTTCCCGTTAGCATGAGTAATAAACCATGTTACTATCCAAAAAATTCTACAACCTTTCCATTTCTTGTTTTTTAATTTTATAGTTAAGAATTTTCTTCAGACATGACCCATGACAGGATGATTCACTTTATTTGCACATGCTTTCAAAATGTATAATACTCATGAAAAGGCCAAATAAGTGCTTACCGCAAACTTTCCCTGCCGCTGCAGCACGCACCTCTGCCTCCATGTCTTTCAGCAAGCTGATGAATGCCGTGACGAGTTCATTGCGAGCTATTTCTGGCCCGACCGCTTTTTGCAACTAAATTTCGAATGAAAGTAAAATGCATTGCAGAAATATCTCGTTCCATCCATATACCTCAGTGAATTTATCAGCTACCATGTATCGCACTCTCCAAGACTTGTCTTCTGCCAACTGCATAAGGATAGGCTTGATCATATCTCGTGAATCTGCTTTTAGGAGTTCTGCAATGGTGACACATGCATCTACTGCCAAGAGTCGAACAGAATCCTGCATACGTACTTAAGCACAAAACAAAACGGTTTTAGAGAGAGGAATATCACTTACTTGTTCATCCTGAGCCAAATCCACGAACATGCTCATCAAATCTTGCTTCAACAAATCTGGTTCAATTACCCTAGCAAATTCTCCAAGTTTCGATGCTGCAGCTCGCCTAACCATTGGCGTATCATCTTTACACAAATTGCGAAAAAGGCTAAATTATGCAAAAACCTGAAGTTCAAGTAAACACTACTGAATTCAATGAAAGACGCGCTAAATAGATTGTTAAACTCATTTTACGCCAGTGTTATGAATGATTCGTCTGTCTTGGTAGAATATACGATATTAGATCAATCAGACATTCAGTAAATGACCGTACCTAAAACAGCCACATCTCAAGATCAACGGTAATTTCATACTGATGGCAATCATAGTTCTGTGCTCTGCTTTGACAAATATAACTTCGTCATTTCGTCACTGAGAATGCGAACGACCAAATTTTAAGTCGCAATTCAAATTACGGAACTATATACGAAACAAAGTCACAAGGGTAGCAGTAAGGATCTATAATGAAACTACTTACTAACAACGGAATGCCACTAGTAACCGAAAGACCTCTTTTGTGCCCTCAAAATGAATTCGTACAGAAAAAAGACAAAATAACAATACGAAACCCTCCAAACGAGGGGAAGAATGCTTATCTATTTCCTGATGTAACTCATCAAGACCGTTTGAAATTTAAGTTCAAAAGACAGAGTGGGGTCAAAAGAACTCCCTACACCTGCACTGAGGACTAGTAGAGACGGCTAGCCCGAATAATTTTATTCGTATTAATATACCGTGTCCTTCACCTGGAGAGACTTGCATTAAACGTATCGATATCTGCAAACTTCAAACTATTGTGTCTATTCAATCGACCGTTTCATAGTTCCAATACTTGCTGCCTTAGCCAACAAAGTCACTATGGAATGCAGCGCTTACAACGACTGCTATCCGCCCTTATCAATGCAAATGATGGGACTGCATTTATGGCGAGCAAATGAGCACTTCAAGTACGAATCTGGACAGAAAAATTAGCAGTAACCGTCCGCATTACACTCAATACGATACAAGGAATAGAGGGCTAAAAATTTTCAGCATACAAATTAACTGAGAATGATACGACGGAGAGAAGTTATGCCAAAGATCCTAAAAACGGTTGATGGATGACAGAAAAATGAAACAAAAACATCCTTAACACAGTTTTTACGGTCAAGACGAGAAAATATGGCAAAAAATGCTTATAAAATTATATTCTCACCCCTGTAAACAGAAAATATTTTTTGTTGCATGTTTTACCGACCATGTTTATTAACCGATTCGCAGACTACGAAGGACAAGGAATAACACAAAATACTGAACTGGCCCACACAACCGGCACTTACGTTCTTAGTTCATTCTTAATGGCCGGAGAAACGCGATTGTAACAGACGCTAAACAGACCACATGCAGAGGTTCTTGATGTAAACCAGTCACCTGAAAGAACAAACATATCGGTTAAAAGGAGAACTGATTATAATGAACAGCCAAAAGCATTACACAGTCAATGAATACTTTAAATCAAACTTTACAATGATCGTTAAAGGCATTGTTCTGAGTAGATAAGCAATTTGTTGGTCTTTAAAAATCGTTACTATAAACACCATACCGGCATACCATGAAGTGTTTTCAATAACTCTTGGTATCGGGACAAGCATGATTCGGTGTCGGTAAAATCAGAATTTATTACAACGATCTGCTTGCTTGTAAATTGACAGAGAAAGTTCGAAATCTTTCATCTTGAGCCCTTGATGAAAAAATAATAAAAACAGAAAATATTTATCAACCGTTGACAAATCCTGTCTAGTGCTATTTCTGCTGCTGCTGTAGCATTCCGTGAGACTTTCGTTTCTTTCCAAGAGTTTTTGCATACGACAGTGTTTCATCAGAAAACTAAGCTGAGAATTTTACTAATTTTCTAATTTTAAGATGAAGGCAAACTTAAACAAAATTACCTGATTTACACAGCTTCAACAAACATGAAGGGCAACGAAGAAAGTAAATAAACACAGAAATAACAACTACAACAGAAAAATGTTGTTTTGCATCATGTTTTCGAAGCGTAGCTGTAAGCAGGCGAAAAAAACAGGACAACGCAGAAAACGCTTCGTTTTGAACGCATTTCGCGAAGCCATCACCGGGGTACAATGATGATCACTGCAAAGTGTGGCATCGAAAAGCGCTGGAAATAATAGCATCTTATGCCTTTATTTATTATTACCAAGAATCGAGAAGAAATGGTTCAAAACGATGATTTTCATAGGCAGAAATCTACGCCGAGAATACGCGGTTTCCGGACATTCCAAACTGGTCTTGTTACATATTGGCTGATGGAGTAATAAAAGTCGAAAGACTTCATTGCACGTAATGCTACGGACAAGAACCATGATGTCCATGGTCATTTCTAACAATCAAGTAATTAACTCTGACAATGAATGTGACGATTCTAAGAGAGGCTGGCGCTTGAAGTCTTTCGGCTTTGCGCAAAAATGATTTAATTAAAAGGTCTCTAGTGCTGTAGCTCATAACTCGGGCGAAAGAACTTAACATTAAGGAAAAAAAGGTTATACCTTTCAAAAGCAATTTTCATTAAACGTGAAGTTTTTACAATTCAAGAACAATATCACTTTATCAGTGTGATTATGCTTAATGTTGTCATATTGATAACGGAACACGTTGTAGGTTTCCGAAAGCAACATGTTTAACAAATATTACATTTCAGACGTACCAGTGTTTAATGTCTTATTCTTGTAAAATATCTCTTTCAAATTAAATACTAGTCAGCAAATAGTCAGTCAGTTACTCACTCACACAGTTACAGTTTGTCAGTCACTCAGTTAGCAAATACTAGTCGGCCTGATCTAAAAGTTTGTCTTCGCTTCAAAAATAGTTGGTTTGCTAGGAAACACCTAGTTTTCAATACCACCGGTAAAAATAACATTCGCCACCCACTTTTTCGGATTTGAAGTAAAAGTGTCTGTTCATACATTACCAGCAAAAACGGCGATTGTTTAATTAAACAGTAGTAGATGATGAACTTTAAATGAAATGGAAAGGAACGATCATGCGACATTGCACAGAGTGTGAAAAATCTGGAAAATCACTTAATTAATAAATTGTTTAAACATTATTTTATTGCATTATTCCTCAGGAAGTCCAATAAATTTTTGACAGAAGCTTAAACAGATCAAAAAATTACTACAAGGAGAGAATGGTTATACTACTGATAAAAAAAATAAACTAGTAATTGTTTAAAAACAGAATAAGGTTAGTTTCTTCGCATGGGCAAGGACCGTTAGCACTTCAGAACTGAGCTATACAACTTCAAATGCGCATACCTGTTGCCAACCGCTTCAAAACCGGGATAAAATGCTCCTCTAAAGCAGAAGGTGAGTGTTTGTCAGCGATTATACGGAGCGACTCCACAGCTTTATCCCTAACAACGGTTTCTTCAACAGCCGCCAAGGTCTCCAACGGTTTCTGAAATTACAAAGTGATCACTGCAAATCTTATCAAGAAGTAAAATATCAATGCGATAAAAATATTTTGTTCAGACAACGTTCCAGAGAAATC